AAATCAATGTTTAAATTGAAAAAAGACAGCATAATATCCGTATCATACAACTTTTCTATTGAAAGCTGCAGGAACAGACCTTGATAAATGTGTTAAATCCTGTAAAAAAAAAAAAAAGGACTGTTTTGCATTCCCTACATGCCATGATAATAATTTATCTCTGAATGCAAAAATTCCTTAACTTACAGCAAGCATCCTAAAATACACCACACGGTAACTCCTATAATTTGATATTTTCAGATAAGGAAGCAAATGTCGAATTCAAAGGTAAATTGGAAGGACATGAAAGATAGCTATAAAATAAAATAAATCACTGCTTCTGGTTAAATTAGTATTGACAGGTAGGGCCAAATTTATCCTCTACAGAGGGCAAAAAAAATTCTCAGGAACCACTGATCCCAGTACTCCAGGTAAAGATGGATTTTTAAATGCAGCAAGGAGCACCAGCGAAGCACTGAAGGTAAGTACAGTCACAGGTTCTGTAAGACTAAATATCACGAATTTCTCTAATGCCCATAATCACCAAATCCCCATTTTCTCAACCAGAGAAGCGCCCTGGTAGAAATCCACCACAGAACTAGGCTGCTGATAATTAATGTGTCGGAAACAGATGACCAAACGACAGTCAAGACACTTTATTCAATTTATTTTTTCCTAGTAAGACATTTATGAAGAAAAGCAATGTCATTGCCATAAGGACAGTGCAAACAACCAAACGTTCTGCTGCACGGCATCATTTGTAATACATCTGCTGGCAATTAAAAAAAAAAACACATTCAAAAGTACAACCACTGGGTCGGTGACAAACCTTGGTACTGTAGCATGAGAAGGGAAACAAAAGCTAAATAATTTAAGCTGAGCTGGACGCACATAAACACACAGCGCTGACTTCCTCAGGTAGTCAGGGCACAGCAGAATATGTATTTAGCAGCTCGAAAAAAACGTCAGGACTGCACATAAATATTTTAAGCAGCTAAAGGAAGTAACAATAACATCACAGCTGATATTTAGAAAATAGCCAACACACACACACGCACACACATATATATGTATGCTATCAGTGCCATTTCATTGTTCCATCTGAATCCCCTTGTGTTCCAGCAGGATTGCCAGGATTGTGGGTTACCGTGTATTATTGCGAGTTGTTGTCACTAAATGATAGTTTACAAACACTGAGAAGTTGAAATTTGTGCAGTGCAAGGGCAGAGTGCTGTGACTGGATTTTTACATCCCCGCGGTGCCGACAGGGGTTAACATTTTCCAGCTCTGCCAGAGCCAAGGCAAAGCCAGTGCTGCTCCAAGGAGTCCCCTCGCCGCGGGTTACAGACTCTGCAGCATATTGACAAGGGGCGTTCCTGAGGAGTTGGGCCATGTCATCAATAAGGAGCTTTGCAGCCAGGCAGGGCCCGATGCAGCCCTTTAATCACTGGGACGGCAGTGCACAGCTATTTACAGTTGTAGCAATAAAAATAAAGGTTTTAGCTTACACAGGAACAGCAAGGAATTAACCCCGTGGTTAACGGCACAAGTTGTCTGGTTTTCAGAGCTTTTTCTTTTCATTCTTTGAAACAAAATTCTGAGTAAGGGGAGAACATTCTTAATGAACATTTTCCTCCTCTCTCTTTAGACATAAAAAATAGTTGCAGCAGCCCGAGCAGCCGAGCAGGCCTTTTGCTTCCCCTGCGGACACCTCCTGCAGTCGAGAAGTTCATTAAGTTTTATGATCTTCCCAAGTCAGTCCTGCTTATAAGCCTCACAAAGGCCACAAATCTGGCAAACCATCATGTATGCCATTAGGCTTTACTAGGAAATGAATGCTATTTAGGGGTGGTGGTGACAGTAAATTCGGGGTTGGTTGGCAGCTATCATTGTTGCTGCTGGACTTAGGGAAATAAATAAATAACTGTATATTTGTACGCAGATACGCACACGGATTCAGACGTTTCTATAAATGTGTGATCCTATCTGTACAAGTGATTTCTAAAGACAAAAACCAAATCATCTATCAACACAATCCAGGACCTAATAATATGTCGTTCCATTGGGAAATAATTGCAATTCCCTAGGACATTTTAAGACTACCAGAATTAATATATTTTCACTTCTTTCTTCATGAGAATAACCAGGACCACAGGTAGAGCAAGGTCCTAATGGAAGCTTAATCAAATCACCAATCTGAAGGCATTTTAGTGAGTAAAGAAGAGCTATTAAAAAAAACCAAAGGTGCAAATCAGTTTTTGATTCCTCCTGGCAGGAAGTGAGGGGATGGACTGTGACACAGGTATGCAACAGATGTGAGCGTGCGCTGCACGGGCAACTTCCCCGCTCCAGTGACACCTCAGAGAAGGGGTGAAACAGCAGAGCGGAGTCACCAGACGCTCACTTGCTTATCTTCCTATTTTATTGGAGGGGCTTCGGTAGAACTTTGGCATCATTTTTCTTTGAACTAATTAAAGCTAGGGGTGGCAGTTTCTTTACGAACACCATGCTACCTTGTGGTTGCCTCTCAGAATGCACACCACTATTAATAGCTGTAAAGCGCTTAAATGTATTATGCAGCACTTTTGAAAATGTTAAAAATGTTGAAAAAGAAATGTCAGGCTAAATTCAGTAACTCAGTGATTTGCTTTGTACATGGTAAATACCTCACAGGGAGAAAAAATAAAAATCTTCAGCTCCTGACCCTGTGTGAGGCTTTCAGAAATGAGATGCAACCATTAACCCTTGTGGGGAAGTGACAGAGTGGCTCCACCTAAACTGAGGATTCCTCCTCGCGCTCTCTCCTGGCCAGTCTCACAAAGTCCTCACTGACTGGACTGAAAAGTACTAATGTGTAAATAGATACATAATTCAATACAAAAATTACTTAAATATTGCATGACTTATTTCTGAGCAGACATGACTGCAACTCCACTTTCTGCTAGGCTCCAGCCTCTCTCCTCACCTCTCGGAAGAAGGCAGCAATAAAGCCATCATGGCAATTCCCACACCCAGGTAAACTTTGCTTCTGATCAATTCTGGAAGAATTAAACACTGGCACATGACCCCACTGGAGGCAGGTTTAAGCACTCGGACCACAAGACAATGAGGAGCCCCAGTGGGAGGGGGACACCTCTGCTTTAACTGCATCACAGACCCTTCCTCGTCCTTCCAGTTCAGAATTGCTTAAGCCATTCCCTACGAAAACAGCTTCCAGAAAGAAAACAGGCTACAATTTATTTTCACATTTTCTTTGCTTTAGCACGCTAAATAAAGCCTGCACAGACATTTCACCTCAACTGTGAGACCCTGAGTGAAGGTCCCCCTCCGGGAACAGTTTTTGGTGGGGGTGTGGATCCATCTCCATCAATCACCCGGGGCATTAATCCTGTCCCTCCCGCGCTGCCGGCCTGGCAGGAGCGCGCCTTTGGGCAGGCAGACGCCTTCACTCTTTGTTGGTTCCCAGCGATTTCACAAAAGAGATAACTCGCAAACTTGGCTCGACTTCTTGCAGTATAAAGGCAGGATCTCAACTTAGAAGTTATCACTGAAACACCCCGAAAGGTTTCAGATCAGAAAGTCTCTTGTCAGGTTCCCTCTCGCCTGCGAGACCGCGGCGGCCTCACAGGCACCCTGTGCCAGTAATCCCGCTGCTGAAAGGACTCGGGCTTTCCTCGAAGCTCACCTCTGACATGTGGCTGACTACACTTGCCTTTCAAAACACCGAGGCTAAGCCCTCTGCAAATAAAGTGACCGCGGGACCTACGCCTGTCTCCTTAATTGAAATCTGCCTCCTGCAAATGTCTGAACACCGAGGGCAGGCTGCTTTCTGGCTCCGGAGCAGGATGGGCAAAAAAGTTTAGGGAAAGGCAGGAAACAAACACAAGCCAAAGCAGGATGGAAAGGGCTTATGAGCTGATCAAGGCGGAACATAGGTAGGTGGGGAGGGAGGGCAGGAGAGGGATCATTCCCCTTATCCTGGGTAATATAATGCAACATAAAGCAGAATCAATCTTAATATTCACAACACAGTCAATACCCTAGTGCTTAGCTGTCAGCAGGAACTGAAGTGGATCCCCGGTAGCAAAGAAACCTTTGGACATAAAGCAACATAATTCACGGAGAACCGCACGCTCCGGGCTCCACAGCTCAGATTTGCAATGATTTCACATTGGGTTGTTTTCATCCAGTTTTATATTTTCAGTGTGGAATTAAGCAGAATGTGATTGAGGATCACATAGTGCTAATAAGCCAGGCAATGGCTTTAGCTATATGTGAATAAATGGCTATTTATTTTTAAATCCAGATCATAATGAATGTTTTTCTTATTGTTAAATGTTCTTATTATTCTCAAATGTGATTATTCTCATTATTCTTATTATCATAAAATTCCCTTATTTTCATAACACAAAGCAGTATACTTTACAAATTTTCTTCTTTAAAAAAAAATAATTCTCTATAAATTCAGCGATGTGAAAAAATTGCAAAAAAATCCCCTAAAATGCCCCTAAGAAAAACACGGGGTTTATTCGTGTCGCGTTAATGTAGAGGAAAAAAAATCTTTTTGTACTTTTGAGACGATTTTTGAGAATTTCGGCGTTTAAAAGCCCGGCGCCCGGGAGGCACCGGAGCCGCGCCGGGCACAGAGCGGGGTCGGGGCCGCCGCGGGGTTGGCTCGGCCCCCCGCCCTCACAAGGCTGCCGGCCCCGGGGCTGCAGCCCGCGGTCACGCCGCCCTCACAACTCTTTCACACGCTGTCTGGCGCTCAAAAGGCAGCGCGGGCGCCCCGGGGCCGCGGGGGCGGCGAGGGGGGACCCCCGCGCCATTTCACGGCGCTGCCGCCGCCCCGGAGCGGCCCGGCCGGCGGGTCCCCGGCCCCGCGGGGCTCCCCGCGCCCGGCCCGGCCCGGCCCCCGCCCCCGGCAGCGCCGTGAGGGCAGCGCGGCCGCGGCGCTGCCCGGCGGCGGCGGAAGGCGGCAGCGCTAAGATGGCTGCGGCGGCGGCGGCGCGGGCGGCCCGTACCTGTTTTCTCCTTGATCTCGCAGAGGACGCTGAACAGGGCGGGTTTCATCCTGTGGCAGTTCAGGGCGTGTTTCCTTGAAGAGAGCACAGGACAAGCGGTTAACGCCGGGCTCCGGCAACATGGCGCCTTCCCGAGCCCCGCGCTGGGGCCGCGCGCCCCGGCCGGGGGTCCCGGGGCCGCGGGCAGCGAGGGGCGGCCGGACCCTCCCTCACCCCGCTTCACTTTTAAACCGAATTATCTTGGTGCAAACGCCGCCCTAACCGCGGGGATAAATCATCCCCCACACCTTGTCCCCGTCCTGCGATATTAGAACTGATTTATTAAGGAGGATGGGGGGGAGGGGATGGTGCAGAGTTAACATTGTTTTTGTATTTATTGTGATTTAATACAGCCAGGGTTCGGTTTGGGTTTTATTCACACACACACACCCCTCTCCTGCAGCAGTATCTAGTCAGGTTTATAATTCATCTGCCGCCACTTTGAGACAAGAAAGAAAGAAAGAAAGGGACAAAGTTGTACTTTTAGGGATGGCTGGCCGGACAGACAGACGGACAGACGGCGGCGCAGAGGCCGGTGTCCACCGGACAGTGCCCAGCGGGAACGGGCAGGGATCAGCCACTGCCTCCCGCGCACCACAGCAACGGCAGAACCATCGCATACTTCTCCATTTATTATATCTAATTTTTTTTAAGGAAAGAAATCATTAAATAGCAACTTTGGCTCTGCCTTGGCTGCTGGTAATTTCTCCTACGGCCCCAAGAAGTTGCTCTTAATTGTGAGACTCCGGGTCTCCGCAGAGGAGCAGGAAGAAGAGAAACAAAAACCACACACACACACCAAAAATAAAACTAAAAAAATTAATAATAATAATAATTAAAAAAAAAAGGACAAGGTTTAATTAGACGAAACCAACTTTGCTTGTGCCTCATCCAGGCTTTGGTCAGTGATGGTCATGATCTGATGGAGGATGTCGCCGATGTCCTGCTTCCTGCCGTCGCCGTCGGCCCCTTCGTGTCCGTGGGGAGGCGGCAGGGCCATGCCCCCCTGCACCGAGTGCCCGGCCAGGTTCACGCCGGCCAGAGTCTGCAGCATCCTGGACTGATCGTCCATGGCTCCGGGCCGGGCCGCGCTCCGGGCGGTCACGGCAGCGCCTGCCCCGCTCAGTCCCAGTGCCGCGCTCCCGACCGCGCTCTGCACACACACCACAAAAACAAGGGGGAGAAAAAAAAAACCCAAACAAAACAATAAAAAAAAAAATGTAGTATTTGTGTTTTGACCGGATCTCAGCTGTTTATTCCACTCTCTTCTCCTTCCCAGGGCAGTAAATCACTCTCTTCTTTAGTTACAATCTTCTTTCATCATCATCATATTGGTGCCTCGGATAAATGAGCTGAGCAGGTTTCTGTGAGGTTTTCCTGGTACAATCTTCCTCCAAAGCTTTTTTTTTTTTTCCCTTTTTATTTTTATTGTCGCTTTTTATGTCTTTCCCCACTTGTCCAAAAATCTTCTTTGAAAAAAGGCAAAATTAAAAAAAAAAAATTAAATACAAAATCAAAAAAACTCGCTTTCAAATCCTTCAGAAGTTGAGAGGGTGCAAACAGCAAAACCCACAACAAACCAGCGAACACCCCCACCCCCAAATTGCAACATAAAAAAAAGCCAAGAAAACACAATCATAGAGGGGAAAAAAAAAATTAATCGCCCTCCCCCCCAAATAACAAACGATCCCAAGTCTGTGCACGGGGGTGAGACAGCAGCAATCAAAAGTTTGAACTTGTGCAAAGAAAAGAGCGGAAATAACGGGGAAAGAACTGTAAAAAAATTAATTACACACTCTCTGCAAAGCAATGTGCAAAAATATCGGCCCGCCGGAATTTATGAGCCCCGCGCCCGGTGCCCGCGCGTGTTTTATGTTGTTTGATGGCCGCTCCGGTGAGGGATTGACAGGCTGCCAACGCCACTCACTCACCGCAGACGTGTCACCCTGTGAAGGAGCCGAGCGGCGCGCGAGAGGGAGCGGAGCGCGGGCCCCGCCCCGCCGGCCCCGCCGCCCCGCCCCGCCCGGGCCCCGCCCGCCCCGCTCCGCCCGCGCTCCTCCCGCCGGGCCCGGTGGCGCCCGCGCTCCCGCGGCGCGGGGGGGGCGGGACCTCGCGTGAGAGCGACGGCCGCGCTGGCCAACCGCCGCGCGCGAGGGCGGGCGCTGGTGGGACCCCGACCAATGGGCGCGCGCGGGGCGGTGCCGCGCCCGCCCGCCCCGGGTAGGCCCCGCCCACAGCGGAGGAACTTATGATTGGTCTGTTCGAACGGTCACGGGGCGGGGCTCGCGGCCCGGGCCCGCCCCCGTTGCCGTGGTGACGCCGGGCCGGGGCCGCGCGGCCCCTCTGGGAGCGCTGGGCCCGGCCCGGCCCGGCCCCGTTCGGTTCCGTTCCCCTCGGTTCCCCCGCCGCTGCCCGGCCCCGGAGCTTCGGCCGTGCCGTGGAGCCCGGGCGCAGGATGGAGGCAGCTGCTGTGCCAGGCCCGCCCGTGCCCCGAGCGCAGCCCCACGGAGCAGCTCGGGCCGTGCGTTGCCGGGGCTAATTTCAAATTACCTTTTTGCAAATCTGCACAGACCCCCGAAATGGGAGCAGAAAAAAGCACAGGCACCAAGGGTAATTAACACTTCATTCTCTGAAGGGTTATCTGCAGATCACTGCCACCCCACCCAAATTGTCCTCTCCTGGGACACCCCTCATGCAAGTACCCAGTTCCTTTAATTCTGACCCATTTTTTCACACTTTGGACAGTGTGTAACACAGCTGTTACCACAGAGACCTCTCAAGGAAGGGAAACCACGTGTAGCTGTGATAAAGAGCCACAGTAGCAATTAAAATGATCCTTAACTCGCTCTATCTGTGGTTTCAGTGGAGCCATGTCCAAACCTCATCCCTGTCTGGCCTTCCTGGGTGTCTGCTGATGCCTCCAGCTCGGTGTTGCTCAAGCAGAGCTCCCACCCAGCTCCTCTCAATCCCAGCTGACATCCCCACACCTTCACTTGGGCCCTGGATGCCATTGTGTGATCTGGAACCCTTTATCCATCTCACCAGGAATGGGGATGGCTCCTGGTCAACAAGTCTGTGCTCTCACTGTTCCTCCTAGCAATTAACAAGTTCATTCACATTCCAATTGCCTTCCATTTTGATTATCCCACCATTGTCCAGTCTGAGCCAATGAATTCTCAGGGTCATCCAACTTTACTACCACTGCTACTCCAAAGGCATTTTATTATTGGTATTATTGCAAATATTTCACAGATCTGTTTGCATTTGGACCGAGTGCAAAGTCTCACAGATGAAAAGGACAGTTCCACTGGCATCTGAGCCAAACAGGATGGTGCTGCCTGGCCAGCCCTGGGCTCAACCCACCCCACAGGGACCTGCTCAGTCCCACCACGTCCACACAAAGCTGCTGTGCTGCGTGAATTTTTGTACTGTTTTGTGAGACTGAGTCCAGTCATCCCAGAGCTCTGGGCCCTGCCAGCTGCAGCCAGGGGCTCCCTGGGACCTGCCCTGTGCTGGGGCAGCTCCAGTGCCTGCCCTTACTTCCCCACTGCTGCCAGACAATGTCACCTGCTCTTCACAGGGACTTCTGCTCAGGTGCCCTCGGTGACACTTGTGCTGTGCTGTTCCCTGTCCTTCTCAAAGGCTGTTTTTCGATGTGTGCAGCTGCTGAGACTGACAGATCAGGCTTTCCTCTGGAATTAACCAGCAGTCTCATTACTTCCACGGGAGATTGTGGAGCTTGCACCAGCAAGCCTGGAAAGGTGACAGGGACACACAGCCACCGGGCCAGGAACAGGCACCGACAGGAAAAGGAACCCTGGGTGCACCGGGGAACATGCACGGCTCTGGGGGACCGGGGTGTGAGGTGGGGGCCCCTGAGGGTGGCCGGGCTCAGCTGCTCGCCCAGGCAGCCGTGTAGGGTCAGCCCAGGGCTACCCGAGCTCCGGGATAACCCACGGTCAGTCACTGCCCTGTGCAGCTGTTACCTCTGTTTCAGGTTCCTCCCGTTTGCGTTTGTACATCGAGTGCTACCCGGCAGGTTTGTTTTAAAACCATCAAACAAACACAAGCCTCACAGTGTTTCAAGCAAGAAATCGGAATTAAGATTGGCGCGATCCCCATCGGAAAAGCCTCCCGGTGTGCGGCTCCGGGGAGCGCTGCAGCCGCTGCGGGTGTCGCCGGTACCAACCCGGTGTTCCAGGGCCCCGGTGGCCGTGTCGGCCGGAGCCCGTGCCCGCCGCCGTGTGTGACTGCGGCGCTCCCGGTGCCGCTCCCGCTCCCGCTCCCGGCGCCGCCGCCCCGCCCGTTCCGCGCCGTCACTTCCGCAGCCGCGGCGCTTCCGGGTCGCGCGCGGCCCCGCGCCCGTCCCGCCGGCCCGGACCCGGAAGCGGCTGCGCGGCCCCGGCCCGGCCCCGGAGCGGCGGCGGCGACGCCGGTAAGTGCGGGGTGGGGGGGGCCGGGGCTGCCGCTCCCCGCGGCCCCGCGGGCTGCTCCGCGCCGTGACCCCCGGTGGTGCTGCCCGGGCCCGCCGCGGGACCCCCGCCCGGTGCGGTGCCCGGCCCCGGGGGGTGTCAGCCCGCCCGGGACATGGCTCGGGACCGCCCCGCGGGGTCCGGGCCGGGAGGAGCCGGGCGAGGGGCAAACGGAGGAGCGGGTCAGACGAGCGTCCGACAGCGAGGGCAGCCGGGAGCAGGTGAGTGGGACGAGCGGCTGGAGCGGCAGAGCGGGCGCGGGCCGGGCGGGGACCCCCGCGCTGCGCTGGGAGCTCCGGGGGCCCGCAGGGTCTCAGCCTGGTGCCCTCACTTCGTGGGAATCACCCCTCACACCCCCCGTGCCCCTGTCACACGCACCCTGTCCCTTCTCCTGGCTGCTCCTGCAGCCCGCAGGGGAGGGCTCTGCCTGCCCAGGTGTTCCCAGAAGGGCACTTTTGGCACGATCGCACCCAAATGTGTTGCTGGATGGGGCTCTCGTTTCTTCACCTGTTGGCGAGTGCCATCAGTCCTGGCGTCTGCACCGCAGGAACAATGTAATGGAGCAGGAAAGGTGTCCGGGAGACACGGCAATGAGTCGATTTCAGTGCTAGTGGAAGTTTGGTGATTGCCTAAATGGAGATGCCAGAGCTAAGCTTGGATTTCCTGACTGGGTTCTACACAATTTTGGGCGTCAGGGGGATTATCAAGTAGATGCAAGGCTGGGAATTAGACTCTCTCAGTTACGTTTCCAAATTCAGAACAGCTCCATTCACGGACACTTTTTTGGGTTAGATTAAAAATAAATTGAGATCAGCGTCTACATATAGACTTGTACAGAAATAACTGAAGCAGGGAATTAGATCCAATTTAGTACGTTTCTGTCTCAGTCATGTTTCAGGTCTCTGTTATTACACTCTTTCCTCATCTGTTTGTTGGTTAAACTGTTTCACCCAGTTGCAACAAGTAGCAAGTGTTAAAATAACAAATAACAAATGTTAAAATAACAAGTAACAGCTGCGATCTTGTGTGCATTTCTTGTTGGATCAGCAAAAGCCTCAGCAGGTGAAGCAGCCTGGCACAGGGATCTGCCTTACACATTCTGTAGGAAGAATTTTGCTTCTGAAGTTGTGAGCATGAAAAGTAGACACTCGTATGGAAAGGTCAGTTATAGCAACAAATGGGACATCAAATGAACAGGATACGAATCACAGCCCTGGGTAGGACCAGCCCATCTCCCATGTGGCAGCTCTTTTTGGAGATCACTGAGGTTGGGAAAGCCCTCCAAGACCATCAGGTCCAACCTTTGACCCATCCCCTCCTTGTCACCCAGCCCAGAGCACTGAGTGCCATGTCCAGTCATTCCTTGGACACTTCAAAGGGATGGGGACTCCACCACCTCCCTGGGCAGCCTCTTCCAACGCCTGACCACCCTTTCCAGGAAGAAATTCCTCCTGATGTCCACAATTCCTTCTGATGTCCAAGGGCAAATGGCACTTGCTGAGGAAGGCGGGGAGAGCTCAGGCTCTCTTCAGTTCTTGCCTTTCAGGTGCTGGGAGGGGCAGGCTTGAGCTGTGGGGTGCAGGGGTGGGAGCAAAGCTCTCACAGGGCTGTTGGTGTTCACGGCTGTGACGCTGCCCCACACCCGGGACGTGCTGTGCAGGGAACTGCTGCCTCAGCTGTGGTAGCAGCAGTTCTCGAGGGCTTTTCTGTTAGTGCCTCTGACACAGACCTCAAGCTATGTTTTAATATTAATTGTGTGTGTGTGTGAGTTGAGGAGCTCCATATAACTGTGGTGCCTGGCTGTTCACTGTCAGCTCAGTTTCTTATCCAAGGCAGCACAAGGGCAATCCCTGCCTTGTTGTATCTAAACCCGTTATTCTAAAAGCAAAACAAAGCTCCTTGAATATGTTTTGTGTGCTGTTGAAGGAGACAGATCCAAAATTAAAAGCCAGAGGAACAGCAGAATCATGTTTTGCTGGAGAAATGTGAAACTGTCTGGTTCCATTTGACATAGAGTCCCAAAGGGGCTGGAGGTCTCAGGCATTTTTAAGTAGGTCCGTGAGCATTTCTGAAGTCAGAAGCAGCTTGCACCCTGTTATAGTCTAAAAAAATAAGTGTCATTTTTATGGAATAAAAATGTTTTCATGCACTCAGAAGTACAATGGCAACAAACAGAAGAAAATGCAAACCCAATAGTGTTTGTTTTGACAGGTGCTGCTGTTTAGTGCCCAAACTCTGGGTGAACCCAAGTGCACAGCAGTGTCAGGGCCCAGCAAGCCCCTCTGTGGTGCCAGTGCAGAGCTGTGCACAGGCTGTGCTGAGGATCTGTGGGCTGGCTGGACCTACAGCATGTCCCAGGCTGTGTCCCAGGTCCAGCCAAGGCAACCTCCGTGAGCCTGGAGACCCCTCTGTGCGTAAAACCCAACCAGCGCAGCAGCTCTCCATACAGACAGTAAAAAGGTGAAGCTTTCTGCTTTCTTGGGTTTTTTAAGATTGAAGCTTGCATAGGTGTTT